TCTTCCTTTCCAACTCAGGTGCCCACAAAAGTGCCAGCCACAGCTTTCTAAGATGCATCTTGGGTCTCCTCACTTCCCAAAAGCCTGGGGAGTAAGTCAGACCCCCAGCCCACTGCCCTCACCCACTCCCTCCCTGTTCACCAAGACTCCTCTGTCCAAATCACACCAGGTTCCTAGCCCCGAGACATACTCTAGGTCCCTGGCTGGCTCAAACGGTTTGTTCTCGCCTACTAACTGACAGGTTAGCAGTGCGAACCCACTTAGCAATGCTGCAGAAGAAAGGCCTAGGGTCCTGTCTCCATAAAGATACAGCCAAGAACACTCCAGGGAGCTCAGTCTTACCCTGTGACACGGGGCCACCATGAGTCGGATTGACCGGACCACAGTCGATTCGTTTTTTTTTTTAGTTTGGATGCATTCCAGGTCCCTGGGTAGTGCGTATGGTTTGTTCTCGACTCCTATCTGAAAGGTTGGCAGTCCAAAGCCACCAGTGGTGCTTTGGAAGAAAGGCCTGGGAACCTGTTTCCATAAAGATAACAGCCGAGAAAACTCTATGCAGTGGCCCAACTGTGTAACACACGGAGTCACCATGGTTGGGATCAACTCAACAGCAATGAGTCTGTTTTTGTTTGGACACACGTGCAGTCCCTGACTTACGGCATGTTTCATTCTGAAGACTCCGTCGGAAGGTGGTTCTAATGGAAGTCAAATGCTTTCTTTCTTTTTCAGTTTTCGTGATTACACCCACTTCTCACTTGGTTAGTTTCCGCAGACCCAGTTGTAGGTGAAAACTGGCATCATGCAAAAACAGAGGGTGCTCACATCAGATCACAAAATGGGGGATGACCATGAGCCGCCGAGGCTGGTGCAGCCAAGCTGACACATCACCTTCACCTTCACCTTCACCCCAGCGCTAGTCCTGCCTAACACCTTGGCATTCGTTGCCGGGTGGCAAATAGTCAGTAGATTTTCCAGGGGCAGAGTAGTCAGAAGTAGCCTTTTTATTATGGTTGTAAATGCAACATCTCAGATAATGAGATGGTTCATAAGTGAGGGCCAGGTGACGGTTCAGGATCTTTAGAAATCCAGTCCTTATCATATTTTTCCCCCCCCAAAAAAAATAAATAAATAAAGCACATGTTATATGGCTTTTGCAAACGCCCTCACACATTGGTTTCCTGTGTGTGTTATATGTGACAAGTTTTTTGTCTTTGGGAGTTGGAAACCTTACATGTAAGCATGAACATGTGAGAATGACGACATTAGCAGAGTACACCCAACAGCGTCTGCGGTGCACATTACTGATGACAAGATGGACAAATAAGGACGGCCCTAAGTGTGACTCGTCACAAGTCGGACGCATCCGAGGTCGGGGACCAACGGCACTCTGCCTCAGTGCTTCGCCCCTGGGCTTCTCCCCGCCTGGAGGGCGGTCCCCTGTCCTCTTGGCCTGGGGGAGGAAGTTCCTCAGCTGTCCCAGCCTTCTACCAGAGTGCCGTGCGCCTGTTGGCACCGTGTTTGCAAACAGCAAGAGAGTGCTACAGCTCCACGCCCGCTCTTAGTACCCTTTAGCAACGTGCGAAAACATGCAGCTGCTCACAGTCTTTCGAAGAAAATAAGATCCAATTAAGGTAGACGTTTATGGAGGGAAAGCCGAGGGGTTCGAAGGGACCCCTGGCACTTGACGTGTATTTTGTGAGCGCCACTGAGAAAATGGGCCCAGAAGGGTCTTGCCCCAGAATGCCACAGCTCTAGGCCATGCCATGATTTTGAGAGTCAGTCTTGCGCCAGTGACCGCAATGAAACTGAGAAGGGGAGGCAGGGAAGCTGGCCGGTGGGTGGGCTGCAGGCCAGGGGCAAGGGAGACACCCTGGGAAGTCAGTAGCCCTTGAAGGGCAGGCCTGGGAGTTAGCTTTGCTACATTGTAAGGTTCCTAATGAAGAGGAAACACACAACAGGCGGAATGGTAAGTAGCTGGAGGTGACAGAGGAGCGCTCACCAAAGGCCCTCGCTCAATCAGGACGTGGGTAGTACGGGCTAACAGAGTTTTATGTATAAAAGACTCAAGACTCCCAGTTGCCTGAACTGGGTCATCCGTCCCTAAACCTTGCATCTGTAACCGGGCTGCTCGCCAGCCCACCCTTACCAATAGCACACTCACCACTTGTCAGGTGGGCGGGCCCTGCATCCTCACCCATGACCCCAGCACCATCCACCACACGGCCCCAACACCTGGCCAGGATTCCCACCACCATCACCCAACAGGTGGTCCTTTCCAAACTGCCTCCCTCACCTCTGAGAGGTGACAGGCGACAGGTGAATAAGGGGCTATTTTGTCATCATTCCATGAGTGCCTCATCTCCTCCTTTTGCCCTCGGTGGGGTGGAGGGTGGTCGGGTCAGACCACGGCCAGATGACGCTTCTTACAAAAGGGTGGCCTGGGGAGGGGCCCTATCTGGACGAAGCCATGCCTGGATCTGCAACTGGCCAGTCCAGAAGCAGTGACCCAGATGGAAACCCACGTTCCTCTCAGCCCTCGCGAATGCAGGACAGTGCCTGGCCAGTAGTGGGAAACCCATTCAACGAGGAGGGAGTGACTTGGCCCCTCACAGCAGGCAGCAGGCTGAGCTCCCAGCTTCCATGAAGTTCAGGAGCCAGCACAAATCCAAAGATCACCAGAATCCCAAACCTGATGGGAGCTGGCGGGTGGCGAGGTGAGGGCGGCCTGCCGGGGGGAGCTGCTCAGAGCCTAAGGGGGCCTCTTGAGGTTGGAACGGGGGGAGGAGGGGCTGGTCAGGCCAAGAGATGTTCTGGGGTCCAGAAGGTTGGGCTGAGTCTGCTAGGGGATCCCTGCTGGCCTGCTGGGGTTGGGGTCGAGGCCTGTTCTAGGCTGGCATGTGCTCTGCTAGGGTCTGGCTTGGGCCCCAGTCAGGGCCAGGCCTGCTGAGGGCTGGGACAGGGCCTGCTTGAGGTGCGGCCTACTCCGGCTGGGGAAGGACTATTTGGGGCTGGACCTGCTGGGCTGGAGTCTGTTCTTGGATGGGTGGGGAGTGCGTGGGGTTGGAGTCTGCTTGCTCAGGGCTAGGGGCAGCTTAGAACCAGGACCTGTTCTAGGCTAGGGCCCACTGGAGGCTGGATTGGGACTGCTAGGTGTTGCCGGGCTGGCGGCCTGGGGTTGGTCTGTAAGGCCCAGGCCTGCTTGGGGCTAGGGTCTGTGAGGCTGGGGTCTTTACAGAGCTGGGGTTTGTTTTAGGTCAGGGTCTAATGGAGGCTGAGGAGGGTCTGCTGCTATCTGTCGGGCTGGCTCCCCAGGGTTGGGGTCTGCTGGGCCTGGCTGCTTGAGGTTGAGGTGGGACCACTTCGGGTTGGGATTTGCTGGACCGGGCCCACTGTCGGCTGGGTGGGGACCCTCAGGGTTGGGGTCCACTGGGCCCAGCACATTGGGGGGTGGGTGGGGACCCCTCGGATTGGGGTCTGCTGGGCCTGGCTGCTTGAGACTGAGGTGGGACCACTTGGGTTTGGGGTCTGCTGGACTAGGCCCACTGTCGGCTGTGTGGGGACCCTCAGGGTTGGGGTCCACTGGGCCCAGCATGCTGGAGCTTGGGTGGGACCACTCAGATTGGGGTCTGCTGGGCCTGGCTGCTTGAGGTTGAGGCAGGATCACTTGGGTTTGGGGTCTGCTGGACTAGGCCCACTGTCGGCTGGGTGGGGACCCTTAGGGTTGGGGCCTACTGGGCCCAGCATGCGGGAGGTTGGGTGGGGACCATTCGTATTGGGGTCTGCTGGGCCTGGCTGCTTGAGGTTGGAGTCCACTGGGCCGGGCCCACTGTTGGCCCGCTGGGGACCACTCAGGAGCCGGCTCCTCTGGGCCGGGTCAGCTCG